GGTCGAGGTGGTCGCGGATCCCGTGGCGCTCGCGGCGATCGTGGTGCACCACAAGGAGGTCGTGGCACGCCGCGCGGACGCGGTAGAGGCGGCAACCTCAGTGTCAAGACCGGAGGTGAGTTCGAATGCCTCACTTCATAGTCTTCTCTAACCAGCTGCAGGCCCGCCAGCTAGCCGTCAGCCTGAGACCGACCCCTGGCTCATGCGGCGATTCCCTCCGATTACCACAACCCTGTCTTCCCTTCCTGTTGAGCGTCGCAAGCTCGTCCTTCACACAGTTCTCTTGCTCTTGCTATCTCTGGAGCAGTACACCGCCTTCTCCCGCGTTTTCATGATGAGCCTTACATCCTCGCTCCATCTGACTCTCCGCACTTTTCAGGAGGATGAGGTCCGCGTCGCTCGTGGTCTCGGCAAGACCGTCTCAGAGGTAAATGCCGAGGAGGTCGTCGAGGAAAAGGCGGCAGAGAACAAGAACACTAGACGCTGGAAGGTCGGCCTCGCCGGAGCTGCAGGCGCTGCCATCATTGGCGTGACTGGCGGTCTGGCTGCTCCTTTGGTTGCTGCTGGCATCGGCACCGTCATGGGTGGCGTTGGATTGGGATCCACGGCGGCAGCTGGTCTGCTTGGAACTCTCTCCTCCAGTGGTGTTGTCGTCGGCAGCTTGTTCGGTATCTACGGCGCACGTCAGACGTCCAAGATGATGGACCAATACGCCAAAGATGTCGCCGACTTCGCATTCTTGCCGCTGCATGGTGAGATGAAGGATGAATATCGCGACGCCAAGGAGATCCCGCCCAAGGACCGACGCCTCCGTGTCGTTCTCGCCCTCAGTGGCTGGCTGACCCAGAAGGAAGACGTTGTCAACCCCTGGCGTTGCGTCGGCCACCAAGGCGAGGTGTACGCCGTCAGATGGGAGGTTGCCAACCTGATGAACATGGGTAACTCGCTCGAGACTGTCATCAAGAGTACCGCCTGGAGTGTTGCCAAGAAGGAAATCATCACGCGGACTAGTAAGTCTTGCCCGCGTCAAGTGACCAGTATTAAATGCTGACCTTCATAGTCTTTGCCAGTCTCATGTCGGCCATGTGGCCGATCGGCCTTCTCAAGGTCAGCAAGGTCATTGACAACCCCTGGAGTGTCGGTATGGTCCGAGCCGAGAAGGTTGGCATGATCTTGGCTGAAGCCATCAGCCGGAAGGTCCAAGGCGACAGACCTGTCAGCCTCATCGGCTACAGTCTGGCTGCCCGCGCTATCTACACCTGCTTGATGGTCCTTGCTGAGCGTCGACAATTTGGCCTTATTGAGTCGGTCGTCATGATTGGCACGCCAGCTCCATCTGAGAGCCGCGTTTGGCTTGCGCTGAAGAGCGTCGTCGCCGGTAGACTGGTCAATGTCTACTCGGAGAATGACTACATTCTTGGTTTCTTATACCGCACATCCAATCTGCAATTCGGCGTCGCGGGATTGCAACCGATCCAGGGCGCAGACGGTGTCGAAAATTACGACGTGAGCAACATGGTTAGCGGCCACCTGAGATACCAATACATGATTGGCACCATTCTCAAGAACATTGGCTGGGAGGACCTCGACTATGCCCAGATCGCGAGGGACGAGGAGACACTCCACCTCATGGACGAGAAGTACGGCCGAGACAAGAGCCAGAAGCCCACCTATGTTGACCCGGACAAGGAGGCCGTCCAGATTCAGGAGGAGGTCAATCACAAGAACGACGCCAAGCTCGAGTCGAGAATGAGCAAGATGAAGATCCAGGATTAGGCTACGGGAAACATCTTAGCTGGGATGATCGGTAGAGACATCGTTATAAAAATGGCATGGTTACGGGAACGGAAAGGCGTGGATATTGGCATCATGCTTACTACAAGGTTAGCTTTGTTACAGGAGTCGACAACGTATACTGTGGTAACAACACGAGAAACGAGAAATGCAAATTTGTCTATGAATGGTTCTCACCGTGCATGTTGTATTGTGGGTATCATGACTCCTCCTTCTTGCTTTGAACGACAAAGTATTTGCCAGCCGTCCTGGACGCCGTCTCCAAGGGGTTCCAGTCCTCGACGCCTTTGGTGTCAACCTTGTTTCCACGCTGCCTCTTTGGTCGTTTCTTGTGGCCGAAGCGGACCTCCTTTCCTAGGGCTTCCGATAATTGCTGCAATCCTATCGTTGCTTCTGCCATGCCTTCGGTCGTCTCGTCACGTAGCGAGCGCAGAGGTTCCACGCCTGAGGTGTCGACGCTCTGTACATCCCGCACAAAGTGAAGCTGTGAGTGTAGGGTGCGGAGCATAGCTGCCTCCTCTGTTTCGGTTTCGGGCAGTGGTAGGGCGGAAAGTCGCAGGAGATGATGCAGTTTCGATCGCGTGATTGGCTCCTCCGCCGTTGCCTTCGCATCGTCTGACTTTGGCAGGAGAGACGCAACAGACCATGTCGGCTGGGCGAGGACTTGTTGAATTGACTTTTGCGCTGAGGGCCGGGCAGCGGATGTGGTGAATGCGCGCTGGTGGCGGAGGACGGCGCTGCAGCGCGTGCAGAGGGAGCGCATCGTGTGCTTTGTCTGACGAATCGATTCCGGATGCTGTACTTGGTCTTTTGGGTAGCTCGCGGGGAAACGTGGCAATTCGTCAAGGACCGAAAGGCATGAAGTCAAAGTAGCTTCGAGGCTCTGGAGAATTAATCTGGAGCTCCTGGATGACAAGTCGGTGTTCGGGGCGAACGACCCAGTACCTTGTCGTAGGTACCCCCAGGCAACCCCCCCACCAAGCCACTGATAGCGTCTTTCTAAGCCACAGTGCCCCGCGTCATAGTTCGCTGCGCTGAGTGGGCGAGACGTGCTGTTCAGGCCGGGTAAGGCAGAGGGGGGAGTCGTTCGGCTGCTGCAACACTTGACGCTGATGCCAGCGCCTCGAAACCTCCTTACGCAACAACATCACACACCATCCGTCTCTGCACCCTTGCGACCTGTCCTTTCCGGCTCGCTCGCATCCCATTTAAACCGAACCACGCCCCGACTTCCGATCCCTCCGAGAGTTCTTCCATCGACAGAACGGTTGCCGTAGATTGTTGACTTCCTTCGCAATCATGGCTCAGGACCCGCGGGCTCTGCTGCAGAAGGTGCGTTTGATGCATGCGTTCGTTCCCCGGGAAGGCGTCGCCAAAGTGACGATGACCCACGGTGGGCGAATAGCAGTACGGGCATGCCGTTAACGGAGAGAAACGCAGGCAGACAAGACGCTGTCGAGCGCCGGCGGCGGCTTCAGCTTCTTCGGCGGCCGCGAGGAGAAGTACCAGAATGCGGCGGATCTGTACATCCAGGCCGCGAACGCCTTCAAGATGCAAAAGCTCAGTCAGTTTTGTCCCTCCCATCCGTATGCTCCACGACCCAAGGACCGGTACTGACGAGTGTGACCAGACCGCGAGGCCGGCCAAGCATTCGAGAAGGCGGCTCAGGTCCAGACCAACAACCTCAAGGAACCCGACGACGCCGCCAACACCCTCGTCGACGCCTTCAAGGCCTACCGTAAGGAGGATCCCGAAGCCGCCGTCCGCTGCCTCGACGTCGCCGTAAACCAGTACTGTGCCAAGGGCAACTTCCGCCGCGCGGCGGGACACAAGGAGGCGCTGGGCGAGCTGTTCGAGGTGGAGCTGGGTGATTCCAAGAGGGCTCTCGAGGCGTACGAGGCTGCTGCGGGGTGGTACGAGGGAGACAATGCTGCTGCGTAAGTCCCTTTCGCCTGGGCCTATATACGGCGGTTGCTATGAAGGAAAGCTACTGATCTCACCGGAAACAGGCTCGCGAACAAGCTCTGGCTCAAGGGAGCAGACGTCGCGTCTCTCGAGGGCGACTACTACAAGGGCATTGAGAACTACGAAAAGGTCGCGGCGGCCTCCATCAACAACAACCTGATGAAGTACTCGGTCAAGGACTACTTCCTCCGCGCCGGCATCTGCCACCTGGCGTCCGGCGACATGGTCGCCGCCCGCCGCGCCGTCGAGAAGTACACCGACATGGACCCCGGCTTCGCCCAGCAGCGCGAGGCGATGCTCCTCAACGACCTGCTGGCGGCCGTCGAGGCGGGTAACCAGGAGGAGTTCACCGACAAGCTGTTCCAGTACGACCAGGTCAGCAAGCTCGACAAGTGGAAGACGACGATGCTTGTCCGGGTCAAGAACACCATCGAGGAGCCCGAGGATGAGTTTGCTTAAGAAATTTGTTGTCGTAATGGGAGTTACTCTCTTTTTTTTGGGTTAAGGGTTCCTGGCAGGGTGGTCAAATGCTATTATATCGAACGTCGAGAGCGGAGGTACAACAGGCTCCGGATACATGTGTTCGGAGGGTGAGGCATCATGTGCGTGAATAACGCTTCATGCAGTGAGCAGGTCCCTGGAGGGTCATACAACGACACCCAAGAAGAACCGTCAGGGTCGTTTTCGCTTGAATAGAATCCACATCCAACCAATGCTCATTGATACACACATAGAGAGGCTTTCTATCACGCATTGTGAAACATCATGTACAGTCCGACCTGGACGGTCTGATGTATTCTCATTTCGTCTTTTGGCTCTAATTGCGTGTAAAAAGTCAGCCATGTCAGGACCGTCGTCCGTAATGGCAACCTTGCAAAAAATCCCTCCCGCTCACCAATGCTTTCTCTCTACCTGTTTGCTTGCTCGATCGCAATTTCCTGCTCGACAACAATGCAATTATCCGGAAATGGCTTCGAAATCCAAATTCCTGCTCGCAACTGGGGAAAAAGCAACAAAGACTCGGCAAAAAAAACTGAAAAAAGGACAACTTCTGGTGAGACCCCCTGGCCTCTTTTATCCCCGGACTCCCCCCTTATGCCGTTTGTGAATTTTGTACAGTTCTGCCTCCGGTCATTTATTAAACATACAGTCTCCCTATCGTACAGCTCCAGAAGCAGAAAGTGAGGTGGTCGTCAAATCGTGACCGGCGTGGTGACCTGGCCTGCGTCATCGTCGACCCTTTACTTTGGCGGGCTGCCCACCATGCTAGGTACCATCTTGCGCAAGAGGCCGCCTCTGCGCTGCTCGGGTCGCGGGACACCCTGAATAGCACGCGGCTCTCTCATGAGCGCAGGGTCTAGCTTGGTGGGAATCCGAGTGACGACGGTCCGGTACTCGCCCGGAAACTTGGCGTTGGGTACTGGTACCGAGGCAGTTCGCCACATGTGGTCAGAGGTATCGCCCAGGTAAGTGGGGATCTTGAGCTTCGCAGGCGCAGCAAAGCCCGAAGCGTTGCTCGATGCGCCATGAGACATGCGAATGGTCGACAGACGGGACAGTCCAGACGTCAGTGTGGGACGGCCTCTGGCCTTCTTGGCCATGATGATCTCGTCAAATAGACGGATGGACGCGTGTGTAGCAGAGTTGGTCTCACGCTCATGGATGAATTCGTTGAATGCTAGTGGCGGTTAGTGACAAGCAACGGGAATTTCATGCTGAAACACATACCTTGGGTTTCCCGCATCATGGTAGCGTACGGTTGTTGTTCGTACGGGAGACTCTTGATGTAACCATCCATGTCAAAGGCGTAAAGCTGACCGTTGCTCTTCTGTTCCCTGGAGGGGCGTCCGAGATGCTTTCTGTACGTGTACAGCAAGCTAGCGAGGCAACGGACAAAAGCTGCTCGGACGCGGTCAGGATGGAATGCTTCGCTACAGACGATCGAAACGTGTCCCAGACAGCGACTGTGGGCGAATCCACCGCAATGAGAGCACTTATAAATACCGTCACCCTCGGATCTCTCGTCGCAAACAGTACAAGTGGACGATGAATCGTGGGCAATCCAGTTGAAGCAGTGACCTTCAACCCACATAGTCGTCTCTGTGTTCCTCACGGGCTGGATCAACATGTTGGGCATGATGGTGGAGGCCGCAATGGTGGACTGCGCGTAGGTCGAAGGAGCATATCCGCCGTACGACGACTGCGAGTCAACCGATATGGCAGAGACTGACATGCTCGGGTTGTGTCCGTTCAGGAACGGCAGGCTTGGTCGGTGGAGAGGCGGGGGCTTGTCCATGCCGAAAGACGAGCTGCGGCGGGACTTCTCGTCGAAATGGCCAGACTTCTTTTCCCTAAGGGTCTGAGCGAAGCCAGAGTCACTCCGAGAGACTGGCGTGGTCGGCATGGGTGGGAAGTTCATAGAAACCGGCGAAACCGATGACTGCGGACTGGTCTTTCCGGACTTGCTCGTATCAGGGCGGTCGGACTTGCCGTGGTCCCCCCTCGAATGCAGGAAAGCATTGAAGATGGGAGGGCGCACGGAGTTGGGCGGTTCGGGTTCGCCAAATGACGAGGAGTTCTGTGTAACCCACTTGCCAAGGGAGCTAGAGCTGACGCTTGAGTTGAAGAGCGTATCGTTCTCTGCAGAGAAGGCGTCATAGGGGAATGACTCCATCGCATACGGCGGAGGACCAACAGTCACTCCATAGCGAATGTGGTGGGGTGCGGCCACATGAAGCAACGAGAGAAGCTTGCGGCGGTGCTGGCGGGGCAAGCGAACAGGCTGGGTGGTTGCATCAATCGTGTCCATGTCCAAGTCCACCAGCACATAGTCATCGTCCGGCAACTCAATCTTCTCGTAGCGCCTCTCGATGCCGACAATGTAGGGGCAGGGCGCATCTAGGGCGGAGAGAAGACGCGCAGGAAGCACGGGAATAAAGATGCTCGCCCACTTAAGGGGATACAACAGATTCGCCAATGCATGGCACGCCAGGTGAAGCATGCCAGTGTGGGAAGAGATGAAGATGATGCGAGACTCCGACATGGCGTATTCGAAGAGGGCAACGATGTTCTCCATGGAAAGACATCGAAACAGGGCATAGATGTCGATGGTTCTTGCCCCAGGAATCTCGTTCGTGGCTTCCTTGCGACAGTACATTCGCAATTCGCGCACACCGAGCTCAACCTGCGTCTTCGAGCTCAAAGGGCTGAACGCCTCGGTGCATAGGTTGACGACGTAGCGCTCCAGCGGTTGCCAACGGCCAACCTTGGGGGAGCTTGGCGGGACTCGCAGGATTGCTCCATCAGTCATGGGCACCACAATGGCGCGCAACCACTCCTTCCAGAACGACATTCTTGTGACATCTCTGCCCAAGATGCCGTAGGCTCTGGGGGCCCAGAGACCGCTCTCGCCAGCAGTCAGCCCATCAATCTTGGATGCAGCACCGTGACGCAATGGTCTCAACATTTCTGTCATGAGACTGATCTTCTCCTCCACAGCACTGATTTGGTCATCCAGAGTATCACGGGCTGACGATCCGGAAGGAATCGTCGGCAGCTTCGCGAGCAGCTGTGACAAATGCGCACGTTCAGCCGCGAGCCGCACACCAAGACTGGCTGCCAACTCCCGTTCCTCGTTGGACATGTGACTCTGCCGCCACTGCTCGCATCGCTTCTCCACCTCGTCTGCAACCTCAGATGTTATCGCAGTCCAGATAATGATGGTGATACCATAGATCTTGGAGTTGTCGTCCGATGTCATCGTGAAACCGTGCCAGGTAGAACGGGGTCGGTCGTCTGAAGAAACGATCTGGATATCGTTGGGGAAGGCAAACATGGGGACGTAGTCAGGAAACTTTCCGCGACGGCTGACCTCGTCGGTTGCGTCTTTGGCAGGGTACCTGTCGAGCAACACGGGCTCGAAACGTCTCTTGAGGGGGTGCATGTCTGGGTCTGTGTTAAGGGGCTCCGGGGGAGGAATGACAGAGTTGTAGTTGCTCAAGCGCTTGGAAGTCCTAATTGAAGCTGGTTCCAACGTGTTAGTAGGCCGTTGAGGACTTGAGGCTTGCGTAGTAAAGGAGGATGGACCTTGGCGGGGAATCGTACCGGCACCTGGCGTGCTCGCTCGCGGTGTGGTGGGTTGCTTGCGCATGCTGTTCATGTCCCTAAAACTCATCTTGCGGCGGATGCTTCCCTTGATGCTCCTCTCGATGCTCCGGAGAGGGCTTCTGCGACCGCTCATGTCACCCTCGTCGGCCTTGATACGCTCGGCTCTCGGGTTCACCATAGGTCTGGCCTGCGCCTTGGCTCCAGCACTGAAGGACAAGTCCTCGAGGAAATTCTCCCGTTCGGCAGCGAACTTGAGGAGAGCCTTATCAAAGTCGAAACCCTCCATGAATGGGGGTATTTCGCCGTTGAGGCCATTCAGCCCGTTCAAGCCATTGAGGCCGTTGAAACCGGTGCCTGGGGGGCTGCTGGTGCCATTGGCAGCGACCTGGTTGAGCTGAGAGGGTCGAATCGTAGCGCTGCTTCGGTTGCTCCTCGTGTTTCCGTCAACCTCGTCGAGGGTATGGATGGAGAAGCGACCATTGGAGGTGCGGCCGCCCGAGTTCTGTCTCGAGTGGCGGGCAACGCGCTTGCTCGGAGTGGCGTTCACATCGCTATCGCTGTCCTCTTGTTCGCTGTCCTCGACGATGGTGGACTCGAGGTTGGACTGGGGCGGCTGCGGGGTAGGGTCATTGTAGGAGATGGACTCTACGCCGGCGATCCAGAAGTAGTCGGCGAGCGGCGTCGAGGAGCTGTCCATGACATGTCACTTGCTGGTGACCAGCCTTATGGCGATAGGGCGATAAGTTTGGCCGGCGAGTGTATTTTTTCCCTCGTCTCGTTGCTTTGCACGGGGCTGGCCCGGGCTTTTAATCGCGAGAGGGTCTCGGGGTCCCTTGGGCGGTTGACTGGTCAGTCAAGGACTGGGGGGTAGTTGGGTAGTACTGCGGTGGGCGGACAGGACAGGGCAGGGGTGCCAGGATCCGGGAGGTTTCTAAGAAAAAGTCTCAGGCGATGACTGTAGGGAATCGGCTCGTTTAGCTATGGACGCCCGAAGGTCTCCATCCAGGACTGGAGAAGAGGGAGAGGAGACAGAAGGCGGTGAACGCACGAACCAGGGAAAAATGCGACGACCAGCGACAGCGACAGCGACAGAGCGAGCAGGCCAGCGGCGGAGCAAAAGGGGCAAGTCGAGCAGGGAAGCCGGAGGTAATGGATCGAATCGGGATCGGGGGAGGAGGGGTGCTGAGACGGCGTGAAGGATGTTGAAAGACGGCGGGCGGGCGGTTGATGGAGATTGAAGAATAGAAAAACCGTCCGGATGGTCGGAGGTCGCAACGCAAGAGCGAATTAACAACAAGAAGGAGAAGCCGCCAAAGGAGTGGAGGTATGGGGGAGAGTGTTGATTGTTTGGCTGTGGTGTTTGTGTGGAAGACGAGTGTGTTGTGAGGAAGTGACGAGAGAGGAGAGGCGTCAGCCAGGTCGACAGATCAAGTTTAGGTTGGTTGGGTTTCGGTCGGTCAAAGATAACGGGGAACAGCGAGCGAGGAGGGCGAGGCTGTTTTTTTTTTCCTTTCTCCTCTTGTGCCTGGCCCAAACTTTTTTCCCGTCCCTTTCGGTTTATTTTTTATTTTTTCGGCGGTGACAGAAGAACAGACGCAGAGCCTCCAAAAAAGAAAGAAACAGACTGATAGGAGATTGGCGAGTGAGGCGGACCAACAGGAAAGGCTAGAAAACGACAGAGACGTGGACGGAGGAGAGGAAAACAAAAACAGCCAGGCACTCTACAAGCCACGCGCAGTTCTGGATTTCTATCTTTCTTTTCAGTCCGCCCAGGCGTCGTTTTCTCTTCTCTTAGGGTCAGGTACGGACAACGAGGACGCGGCAGCGGCAGCGCAACGGACAACAAACGGCGAGCAACAACATGGGATGGCTTTGGACAGAATGGGAAGCTAATATGGTGATCGGGCTCAACGCGAGAGTGAAAAGGGACAAGCACCAAGCACCAGGCGCCTTCATTCGTGGTTGCCGCTACGCGTGGAGGTCCCAGGAGGCCCTAGAGGAGGTGGCGTGTGGTTTAGAGAGGGGGGAGGGGGGGGGGGGGGGGGGGNGGGGGGGGGGGGGGGGGGTGGTGGTGGTGTGGGAGAAGCGGGACCTGGCTACTTTCCCTTTCACATTCACATTGCCTACCTAACCTCAAGGTTCGGAGTACGGATACTGGGTGCCATTCACACTTCCCCGGTTACCTTACCTTACCTTACTGTCAAGTGTCGACACGGCTCCTGATGCCCCGGACTTGGAGCTGCCAGTTGCAGTGCAGTGCAGTGCAAGCAGCCAGCCTCCTGAGCCAGCGTCCTGAACTGAGGAAAGCAGCTCGACCGGCCGGGGCAAGGGGCGTCGGGGGCCACAGAGCGATGTGGGAAGGTGGGAAAAAGCTGTTGCAGGCCACAGGACAAACTCTGGGCCCGATGAGACGTCGATTCGAGCTCAACTTTCAAAGAGTGAGGTGATTCAAAGTGTCGCTGGGATTGGAGTCTGGCGGCGCCTTCGATGCTGTGCACCAGAGCACGACAATTGAATCCATCCCCTAAGCTACCTTGCACAACGTCTACCCCTGTTTACGATGTCTATATTACCTAGCACATAACGATACGCCGTCCGGATACAGGTAGCCCGATGCCTTACTTACAGTGCTGTGATACCGCCAGTAGGGCTGTTTTGGCGGGACTGTCCTCGGTTTGTCCGCCGTCATTCCGGCTGGAATGCAGAGGTGCCTCATCTTCGTCGTTCCATCTTCCAGCAGTGTCTCTCGAGAACCCTGGGCTAGTCCGTTCGGATAGGGGACACATGCCTCAGACGATGTTGAACCGGCCTGACGGATAACTGACGTGTTTCATAGCGACATGTTCGAGTTTCTTCTTCGAGATATGAATCTCACAAGGAGGGAAGAAGAAATGGCATATGCGGTAAGACGCCATGGCTAGATGTCTCTCGATTCCCGTTGCCGTGTCTCGCGGCGGCGACGGACCTGACGAGACCTGACCTGTTCAGTTCTGCCCTGTGTCTTTGGACTTGCTTCAGCTGCTGCCAGCGTACCACGGCCTTGCCAGACAGACCCCAACCCCCAGGGCCGGTCAGATAGTTGCTTTCCGCTGTCAGTGGCATCTGCCTGTCCATCCCATCCCACTCCATCCCCGGGGGCTTCTTCTATCAAGAGGTTCGCTTCGTGTCATTGAGTGTGCTCCGTGCCATGCCAGTCCCCGTCCGTCCGCAGCAATCTTGGCTTTCGACGCTCGTGCTCTCTGCCCATCTTTTCCCTTCTAGAGGATGGAATGAAGCTTCTCGTTCACTCACCGGATCTATCAACCAACACTTGCGTATTACCAAATTACTGGTGGTGTCCGTGTGCTCTCCTGAACCGAAAGAGAGACCATCCACCTCCTAACCCCGAGGCCACCGAAAAAGGCCCCTGTGGTCCCTGAATTAGTGTGCCAGGGAAGTGCCTAGTAGGCATCGACGACCCTAGAATGGACAGCGACAATCAATCAGGTCCCTGGACGGCTCCCCCTGGACCACTAACACGGTCGCGGGCATTTGCCTGTCGATCAACTGGCAACCGCCGTGAGCGAGCGCTCCACAACACCATCTTCTTCCTTCCTCCGGCTCGCCCACCGTCGTCCACCATCGTCCACAATTCTATCGTCCACTGTCGTCCGCTGTCGTCCACAGTTGTTGCTTCCATTCTGCCACTCCATGACAATGGGTGTCACCCACTGCGCAAGCCAGACCCTTTCCGTACAACTGGCCCACCATCGGGTTTTCCACATCCCCATCAGTCGAAGGCCTTCTGGCGTTCAGGTTCTCCCATTCCTCACGGGGTCGACAAATGCAATGCTTCCCGTCTCCGAAAGACAGAGAAGCTGAGTGAGTGGGCTTCCTCCACATGCCCTCTTTCTCCTTGTCCGGGCATGTCCATCAGCGAAGGCAGCTTATCCACTCCCACTCCTCGGGGGGTCCTTCTTCCCAGCTCCAATAAGACATCGTCACTGATCACGGAATATGCCCCTCAGCAAGTCTCAAGACGCGACAAGGAAGCTGTAAATCGCTCTTCCCCTCACTTGCTTTTTTTTCTCACTGCCGCCCGATGCCCGCTCTACTCCTACCTACCTAGCATGAAGGCATCACATCGTCCTTGGCCAACTTCCCCTTCCTGCTGGGGACCGAGTAACACACATGCATCTGTACAGGTAATGCTGAGCTAGATCTGCCCAATGACAAGACACATATCTATCCCAAGACCCAAGCCTTCCGGGCCCTCCTCCCCAATGCGACGTGCCTGCAAAGCAACCTTACTGGACTGGACTTGGGCCGCATTCCACCCCTTCTGCAGACACACCTCTCCTCCGCCAACGCACGTGTACGACGCAGCAAGAAGCATCTCTCCCACGAGGAACGAATCCTGGCTTGCGTTTGCTCAAAGCCTACGTACACAACCTCACGCCTGCTATTATCTCTTACACACCACAACAGAAGAGGAAAAGATTTTTTTCCTCTCTCCTCCCAAACTCACCTCCGCATCCGACGAAGCCCCCAGCCAAGCCGCCCGGCACATCGGTGACGAGTCGTTGCGGGCGACACGAAAAGATGAGGTTGCGTCTGGCGTGCATCCATCGCAGCTGAGGTCAGAGTCAGGGAACTGCCCTTTGGACCCGAATAGCCGCGACCCGGCGCTTGGCCCATCCACTCGCTGGCTCCGACATGAAAGAATCTACGAGATGCAATTCCCTCGGAATAAACCACAGAAAAAAGACCCCTTGAGCAATAATTCCTTCAGTGGGGTTGGCCCCCCACAAGCCCGCCGCCTTCCAGATTGTGATGTCGACACTCACTTGCACAATCATCGTATCGACCCTCAGCCGCGATTCAATCCTGCCCTTCCCTGTCAGCGGCCGACCTGCCTGACGATTCATTTCGTCTTTAGACGCCAATCTTGCCTCTCCCGCCCAAGCAAACAGATCCAAACGCTTTGCTGGGACCTGTTCATCCCGCCTCACGAACTCAACAGAAGCCAGAGTTCTTTGCCAACCCGGTCAATCAGTTCCAAGTCGACCAGCCAACCATGCATCGACTTCAGGGGTCATTGGGCGCTTTGCTTCACACCCTTTCCCCTCGGTGGGTAAATTCGCTGCCCTCCCACGCTTCATACATAACCCATGGGGTTGGCTGCAGAAGATGAAGCGCTCTACCACCATCCAATGAATACGAATGGCTTGTCGAACAGCGAGCCGGCTGGCTAGACCAGGCAGGCAAGCAAGCAAGCAAGCAACCAGCAGCTAAACTAGCCATGCAATCGAGCAAGCAACAGAGGCGGTCTGCATCCCACCGCTCGCTTCCTCGCCCGCCAAATGCACTTCGCCCCGAGGCGGCATCTATCAAAATCATCCTCCTTGCCGTACCTGCTTGTCGACCGACATGGCCCGCATGGCTCTAATGTGAGGGCCTGGCTTAGCATGCATTCGCATGTTTCAAAAGGGCCCGTCAACGGTAACCTGCCCGAGCCTCCTCGCCGTGAATGGCTCTTCACCCGCTCCTCCGGCCTCCCAGTGCTCCCAATCATGCCGGGCAACCAGGTATTTCCTGATATTCGACAGAAAATCAGTTGAGCCCTTGCTCCCCGACACGGCTGCCAGAACGGGACACAGAGCAGAAAATCTTCCAAAATCAGCCTCTGCTAGCGCACAGAGAAAAAGATCGTCCCAGTCTTAAGACGCCTGATATCACGGCCCATGGCCGATCGTGGGCCCGAGATGTCGAACATGACGGACCAGGATCGGCGCACAGCTTCAACTGTCTGTGGGTGGTTTCTTGGTGCGCACTGCTCGCCGCTCACTGGCCATTTCCGCCGCCGGGAACCCGTCGCGGAACTGGGACAGTCGTCATCAGCGCCAAAAAGCAACACCGGCAATTGCCCACGATGCCACTCAAAATCTCAAATGCTCGGTATGCTAGGTGCCCCATGTAAAATCTTTGGGGAATTTCTTCTTGGATGAGTCGATTGCTCGACCCCAGAACCTGGAGTAATCCACGAAGCCTAAAGGGTTCATTCCCTCAGACCCGCATCACCGCCGGCGCACTTTTTCGGAGAATCTTAGTCCACTCAAGTAGTCTGTTGGGTAGGAACACAGATGCCTTGCTGCTTGGCCCCCCTGGACAGGATTCAATCCAACAACCTTGGGACGGCTGCACGGGAAGGTCAGCCACTGCAGACTCCTTTTCTGTAGCCAGCCAGAAAAGGTATGAAGAAGCCTTTGTTTCAGATCTCGCCTACATACCGACTTAACCCATGCTGCATGCCACCTTACGGGATGCAGAATGGCTGGCACCTGTCGGCCTGGCCTATTTGTATTTGCCCCTGACACGCGATGGCAACTCATCATCTCGCCGGATTTGGCTACTCTGGACGTTTAACAAGAGAGGCTGCTGTACCTGACATGCGGGCTGGAAATCCAGCTCGTGGCCACGAAGCCATTCGAATGCCCTCTGGCATCTATCTGGTCTTGTCCTCTCAGCTCACAACACGTCCAGACTCCACGTCCTGCAGGCAGTTCCGCACCGGCCTGCGTCATGTTAGCTCAAGTGGTCTGAGTCCTCCACGCTAGCCTCGTAGCTGAGATCTAGCACGGTCGTCGACGGCTGACACCAAGATCGCGTACAGACCTCCACAGAGCGGTCGTTGATTAGATCAATTTTCAGCAGGCCCATCCTAGAATGGAGAAGTCAAACCCGACGGCTTTGCTGCTCGTTGCTTTTTTCTCCCCTGCGAGATGGCCCAAGGGGTTTGTCCTTGGCCTTCCAACCGATTCTACCCCAATCAATCCTCGACAACGGCTCGGTCGTATCAGGGGGAACAGAGTGATTTCGATGAAGCCAGGTGTCGATCCCTCTCATGCAAGGCGGCTGCAGACTACGCGGGCTGCAGAACCAGATTCCCGTTTCGGACGGAGGGCACGACAGCTTCCACGCTGCAGGTCCCATTAGCCTATACATGTTCTGTGCAACGTGATAACTCGTCGTCTGGGAGTCCCGTTGCTCATGCCAGTGAGGTGCCAGTGAGGTGCTTTGGTGCAGCGCGGCTGTGAGTTGCCTTTGCGGCCGCTATTCCCGTACGTAAAAGGACCGAAACTGGAGGAGGGGCGATCCTGGAAACCGATGAACTGGAGCTAAGGAAACATTTGTCGGTAGTCTCAGGGCGCCCGTTAGAGTTTTGAGATCTGGGATGCACTACTGGATCTAGAGCTGTCACTCTTCAGCCACTCTTCACATTTTTGGCACGTCTCAGGGATTCAGGAGGTAGTGGCACGTTGGTGCAGATTCGGTGGCGCATCTGAGCGCGATGGAAAGGGTTGTGATTCGGAGATATCATGGTATTTGGTGGCTGTCGCTCTCTGCTCGCAATGCCTTCGTCTCCCACCTTATTGCCAGAGAACCGACGCCGTCGTGTTTGACCTTCAGGGTCTTCATCCTGACTCCCTCCTCCTTCCCATGCGCAAAGGGATCAGCCCGACGTGCTTCTGCATACACGACGCGGCGCTCGCCCCGGACGCCGACGGTTAGACAGCTAGCAACCGTGCAAATAATCCCACTTCTCATCAGCAACAATCTGAACAGCCGGCCCGATGAGGTTTTTCAGCTCGATAGAGCATGCGTTCCAAAAGCCGCCCTTCCACGCACAGAAACAAGTCCGCCCGGCTGCGCGGCCCAGCCTGCCCGCCTCCCGCGTACGTGACGTCCAACCTGTGCCGCTGTCTCTTGAACCGCCGCGAGCCCCCTTGAGGCCGCCTCAACTGGAAAAAAGCTTCAACGTGATTCCACAGCCTCACGTCACGCTACGTGCCGCGTGCCCAGCTTGCCCGTCGAGAGGAAGCCTCTGTTTCCCATTTCCCCTCTCCACCCGATACCCAGCACTCCGAACATGATCCTGCCGTCTTCTCCGGGCTCGGCGTGGGCCCCGTCCGCCTCGGTGACCACGAAGCACACCTGCTCCACCTCCCCGGGGTGCAGCACCAGCCGTGCCACGCCGCCGCCCTCTTCCCAGTTGCAGTCCGTGTACCCCAGCCCCTCCTCCAGGTCGATCAGCACCTTTTCCAGCTGGATGACGTCCTCGGAGCAGTTCTCCAGCTGCGCCTCGAGAACCCACTTCCGAGCACCGCCCTCCTTCCCTGACGCCAGCGGGCCGATCTTTGTGCGCACGATGAGGGAAGATTTGCAGATGAACTGGTACAGCTTCCGGAACGTGCGCGTCTTGCCCGACGTCTCCGTGGCCTCGTAGTAGCTCACCGTCACCGCGAGGACGTGGTTGCCCTCCTCCTTCAGGTCGAAGTTGACGATGCGCTGGAGCGTCTCCCCGGGCTCGAGGTCGGTGCCCTTGCCCTCCGCAGCATCGGCGGCCGGGTCTGCGGGCGTGAGCTCCAGCTTCTGCACCGCGCCGCCCTGCCCGGGCGTCTTCATCTCGGCCTCGATGCGCACATCGCGGATGACCTTGCGCTTCGTGCCCGGCGGCGGCTCGAGCGTGTCGTGGTTCGCGCAGAGGGTGCAGCTGAAGACCTCGCCGACGTAGGCGGAGCCGAAGCTCAGGGGCAGGTTGAGGATCGGGGAGAGGAGGAAGGGGGCGGGGTTCGTCGCGGCGGTGGTGTCGTAGGCGAGCGAGGCCGGGGCCGGGTCCGCGGGGACGTGGGAGGGCGTGAGAGGCGGGCGGATCGGGTGCTGGATTACGAGTGACGGGCGGGAGAGCCTATCGTCGCGTGTCAGATGTGTGGTTGTTTTGTCATTTGATGTGATGCGCACCTGAGGACTTTGAGGGAGACGGAGTGAGGCTCCTTCAGGGGATCGTGGGACGGGTATCGTTGGTGACTCATGTTGACCAGGTCGGAGGGGGTCAACTTTGGGTTGGTGATATCAGAGACAAGGACGATGCGACTTGGAGACAAGACGTGGATCGTCTGTGGAATTGGAATGACGGAGCTGTAGTGGGCCCCTGTCCCCAATGTTCCGTTATCGATAAGGACACTGGGACGATGCGCGAGTGGTTCGGCGGAGCTTCCCCGCGTTCGGTGTGGTTCGCTTTGGATTGGTGCGAGGCGCACTGTGATCGGAGTAAACTCCATGCCTGACGTCGATGCGCGTATAAGACGAGGACGGCACGAGAACATCCAAGCAAAAGAGTTTGGTGAGGAAATCACATTGTTATCTTAAGTCCTGCGGCTTGACCCGTTATGTTACTTTCATTTTCGTTCAACTGCAATGTGCTACCACTGGAGCTTCGTGGGATTTACGCACAAAAACGGAGGGGGAGATCAACCACTCAAGTGGGCTTTGGCATGAGTTGCTTGCTCATACCAAATATTCATCTCCATGAGCGCTTTTTACTTCATATGGATGGGCTCGTCAAGAACCGCTTTTCTTTCGCCTTTGTTGCTCCCAGCTCGTCTGAAGCCGTGTGAGGTTAGGGCCTGCTTTCAAAGTTGCAGGCGCTACCTGTCATTTTTAGTGAGGATCTAGAAAACGTCAAGAGTATACCACCTGAAAATATCCTAATTCAAATTTGCATGTTCCACCGAGTTCCGCAGTTCGATATACACAAGGATTCTATGTGGTGAGTTGATTGTTGATCGCGCTGTTCGACTTGCTGTGAGTATGACCTATGGCAGGATAGCCGTATAAGTTTAATGCGAGTAGAGGAGAAAGAGAGCGGTATGATACAGTGTCATGCTGTTGTAAGCTCACGGCAGACGACTAAGAACTACTGATCGCTATCGGGCTGCCTTGACTGCGGCTTAGATCATGGAAGGACTGGGACCAGTGGAGCTCGATATGTCCAGCATTGAGAAGGAAGGGGCAGTCCCCTGAACTACCCACCACCCACCGGGTGCGGCTACCTTTTTGTTCAACTTCAGCTTCGTTCACGTCAACCAAGCCCGATGATAGGCCAAGTGGCCTAGAGGTGTAGCGCTCTGGTCCGTTAGTGAGAACTTGGTATGAAATCCGAATGCTGGTTTCGTAGGGTCGAGGTTCAAAACCGCTCCCGAGCTTTTGCCTTTTGCACTTCTTGCCTCTCCTCAGCTCAGTCGCCAAGCCGTGTTCCTCTATATCTCACTGACATACAGCTGTCAATGTAGACATTAAGCACCAAGCCAAGGACGCCTAAAACGACAGCATGCATATTATACGTGCAAGGCAATACACCAAGCATTGAGTCCATACTACAATCGCCAACAGAGGCGTCGTCCTGTTTTATAGAGCGTGAATATTCGACGCTTTATGGAACAGACGTAGGCAAGTATAATGTATCGGGGCGTATCCTGTTTCGAATGCATTGGTAGTCCCTATTATTTTACCTGTATGATCATGTACAATTTAAACCGCGTCCAACTACTCCAGTCCTGTACCAAGCGGTATTCCATTCAGTAGGACACTACCGGGCCCTGTCGGACGGATTTCAATCTTAAAATCGACACTTATTACGCCGTCCTTATGCCTTATTTCCTAGAGACCGGGAGGGGGAGGCACCTGCTCACGTCAGTTTACAGTTTCATTGTCAGGTGTAATGCCGACATGACTTACAGCACCATACCCTCCAGTTCCCGGGGGAGAACCTGAAGGAGGGGGCGGAGGAGCAGAGCTTGGCGGAGGGGGTGGGGGAGGAGCAGCCTCGCTCGGGGGCGGAGGCGGCGAGGCTCCAGGAGGCGCGGGTGAGCCTTGCGCTTGCTGTTGCGCAGCGGCGTAGTACTGCTGGTACATCTGGACGTACGCAGCGTAGCCACCATAAGCAGCATAGGGGTCCTGTCCACCGTAGTATTGGGCATACTGAGCAGCGTAGTCGGCTCCAGCGGCAGGGCTGTTAGAGCCGCCAGGAGCTGGGCTGGCCGACTGTCCGGCGCCGTGACCACCATGGCCGCCGTGACCTCCGTGTCCAGAGTTGTAGCCGCCACCGCCATAGCCCTGGTAGCCGCCATGACCACCGTGTCCACCATCGTGGTTCCGCGAACGGTCGCCATAGCCGCCGCCGCGATCTCCATAGCCGCCTCGATCGCCGTATCCACGGGGAGGCCTGCTCTTGAACTCCTCGTACTGATCCTTGACGTTGGCGATCAAGTCTTCGCAGAGCTCCTTGGCCTTCTCGACCATTTTCGGATCAGGTCCACTATAAGTTGATTAGCGGAATTCTCGATGAGCGGGGGGTGGGCGGCTACTCACGCCACATGAAGATACATGTCCTCGTCGCTCTCACGGTTAGTGGCAGCCTCCAAGTATCCAGAACCGCGGCCCTTGATTTGCACACGGCACTGGGTTTCCTGCTGGATATGCTTGACATAAGCACCGCCGTGTCCAACAACCTGAGCACGCAGGTTGAATCCAGGGACCGACTCCAAGCCAATGGGGATCTTCTCCTCGGGCCATTTGCGCTGCGGAGCATTAGCCAATGAAACCTAATCGTCAGGTCATACGTACACGACCGTATTCATCTCTCTCGACCTGCTCTTGGTCACGACGACGGAAACGGCGCTCGTCGACCAACGCCGGGAGTTCCTGTTTCATGAGTTCCTCAATCTTGGCCACAGCTTGCTCGAGACCCGTCTTTGATGTACTCGTCACGTGAAGGTACAAGGGGGGATTCTGGAACATCGTTAGCGAATGAACTGGTACATAGTGGTCACGGGACTGACCGCAGCCGTTGCCATGCTCTTGTCGGGATAGTAGCTTCCTCGGGTAGTAACATCTTTCAAAGTCAACTTTCGTTCCTAACGACGTAAATTGGGAGGCGTTGCGTACCAGCACCAGTCTCTTCTTTAATCTAAATCAAGCAGATGGAGTCAGCAGGTGCCAAAGAGGGGTGATCTGTGTGAGCTATCGTGCTGGTAAGCAGGATGATCTCGACACAAATCAATGGATAGGAAGGGAAGCGGAATGCGCCCGAGGCGAAACCTGGGAAGGAAATATGATCAGTGGTTTTTGCACAGGAGTATTTACCATCTTCTGAGTTGACCCCTTGGTCAGGAGATATCTGTTGCGGAGGTCGTTGACTTCGATGTCCTTGATGTAGTCTCCGTCGGCAATGTACATCTCGCCATTGATCGTGTTGGCCGGGTCGGGTGATCCATCTTCTGTTTTGATTTCGGGCGTCGCGGTCTTGATCGGAGGGACATCGACGTGTTGAATGCCCTTCTTCGCTTGGAGTTGCGCGTTAATGCGCGCAGCTGCGGCAGCTGGTGGCTGGTTAGTCTTTCATCGAGGTTCATACAGAGAAGAGCGGTCGCGTACCGGCCGCAGCTGCGGCGTCCACGGGCGACTTCTTGGGCTCGGTCGCAGGGTCGTTCGCAATGGGGCTGCGATCTCTGCCTGACTCCGGGCGCTTTGCGGGAGGAGATCGGGAGCGACGATCGAATCTTGAAGCCTTGCGCGGCTCAGGTTCGGTCTGGTCGAAGCGCGAGCGCTTGGCGGAACGTCGCTCGGTGTCGTCCATTGTGATATGTCGATGCGTTAATACCGTTGTTTGCGTTGAAGGATGTAACGATTCGTCCTGGCAACACGTGTAATCAACGCGATAGACGCCAGTCGGTTGTTTGTGAAAAAGGACGACTCGGAAATTTTACGAGGTTTGAAGCTCTTTGGAGGTGGAGCCTTACGAGGTGGACAGGCCGACGTGTAGTGGCTTGGTCTGTGCGTTAGTCGGTCGCAACTTCATCACGGTCCCTGCCGGGAAAGAGTTGTCAGGTGTAGCTGAGAGTCATTTTAGGTACTGGCCACGCAAATGAATGAGACATTGCTGATCAAAGAATTACTCCGCATGGAATTCTGCGTGACGCCATCTGTACTTGTTTAGTGGTAAAACAAGCAGGAAACGTTGATGTCAGAGTAAGGTGTTCGATTTTAGCCTCTGTCGTCTGCATTTACTATCCAATACCTTGCTTATTCAGTTGCCCGACTATAATAGAAGTGACCTAATTAGGAGACCGCCAGGATAGCATTAGGTGCATTGAGGCTTTGTATTTAGGTCTACGTTTACTGCTCTTAAATCAATGACAGACTTGCGACAGCGCCGACTTCGGTCCGGTCGACAATCGGCAAGTGGGACGAACGCCCGCTAAGCATCGACGCTACTCCCAGCAGAACCCTAGACATCAAGATTTGATGTTCTCAATTGAGTCTTTCCTCGATGATGACCCAATCCTTTGACTACCAAGAATGGTCAATGTGAGTCATGGTGCGCTTCAGGAAGGAGAACTCAGCGCGAGTGGTGCACTGTTCCACCGGTCATTAGATATGATTCTCCAGGACTTCCCAAAGCCACGTCAATGCCAGTTCATGCATCTAGGCGGTAAGTCTGGAGGTCTGGTTGGGGAGGGAGTCATGACCCACGGAGTCCTTTTTGTGTTTGTCCGTCAACCACATAATCAGAAAGGCATCGTACACATTCAACCCATGGTTGCATCAAAGACTGAAGGCAAACCGGACACTTATTTGACGAACGGATTACTATGCAGCCTATGCCACAGGTCAGCTTCCGACACAGTGTAGGATGTAACCCCGCACCCTCCAACCGACCCCGCGATGCAGCGTTCCCACTCGCTCGGTGAAAACCCCTGTCGGTGGCTGATCCGTGCTCCACGACCCCTGCGAACGGCCTGCTTCCCTGCCTCCGACTTGCCTCCGATCTATCACCCCCAAATTCTCCTCAAATTTTCCCAGTGGAACTTGACACACGGTGAGTCAGTCCGTTATCTGTCCGGCCATTGAACCCCGAGCTCACTCTCAAGTTCAGGCCGAGAGCTTCGTCTTTTTTTTCTGATCACGAGAGCAATTGGTTGTTCTCGCAATTGATCAGAGAAGATGGCGTCTCGTCGCCTACTTTCCACCTCACTATGGAGGGCCACCCAGGCACCTCAAGCGGTCCCGCTCGCTGCCGCCGCCCGCTGGAGCTCCTCTAGCAGTTCGACCTCGGCCATCGCATACAAGGCACTTCGACGCCGCGCCGCTCCTCTCCCCGTCAGCGACAGCCCGCCGGCATGGTCCGCCCAGGCCGCCGTCTCCAACATCCTCTACGAGACGCCCTCCCCGTCGATGGCCCCCCCGAAGCGCCATATCCTCAACTGCTTGGTCCAGAACGAGCCCGGTGTGCTGTCCCGCGTCTCCGGTATTCTGGCAGCTCGCGGCTTCAACATCGACTCGCTCGTTGTCTGCAGTACCGAGGTTGAGGATCTCTCGCGCATGACCATCGTCCTGACCGGACAGGACGGCGTTGTCGAGCAGGCCCGCCGTCAATTGGAGGATCTCGTCCCCGTCTGGGCCGTGTTGGACTACACCAGCGCTGCTCTGGTCCAGCGTGAGCTTCTGCTTGCCAAGATCAACATCCTGGGACCCGAGTACTTCGAGGAGCTGTTGGCTCACCACCGTGAGATCACGGCTGCCGACGTTGAGCACCCGGAGGGCGCCATCGAGTCGCAAAGCTTGGAGGAGATCGCCAAGGACTTCCATCCTAGCAAGTTGGCTGCTTCCCAGGCTCTCCGCCACAAGCACGAGCACTTGAAGTCCATTACCTACTTCGCTCACCAGTTTGGTGGCAAGGTTCTGGATATCAGCACCAACAGCTGTATCGTAGAGATGTAAGTTGACCCCTGCTCATGATAAGATGCCTTTACTGACATGACAATCCCGTAGTTCTGCTAAGCCCACGAGGATCGACTCCTTCCTGAAGCTCATCGGACCCTTCGGTATTCTTGAGTCCGCCCGCACTGGCCTGATGGCCCTGCCCCGTTCGCCCCTGTACGGTCCGAACGAGGAGACGATTCTCAAGGAGGCGGATGAGGTTGTTGACGCTAGCCAGCTTCCCCCTGGTTAAGAGACAATGTGTTAAAAAATATCCGGCGTTGGTAAAACGGTATTGCCATCTTTCAATGCTACTAAGTTACTACACAATCTGTACCATTTTTGAAGAACGCCTCGCCTTTTTCTGTGACCGTGCAACGCCGAACCTGTCCCATTAGATCTTGCCCTTATTGACAACGAAGCCCTCGAGCGCAGCTGCGCCATTATTAGTGTCGAGTTTGCACGGATGAGGGCAGGATACTCACAAACTGCAGCCCACAAGCGGTTCTCCGCCTCAGGGAAGACGAGAGACCTGTCACTGTAGAAGACTTCGTCGTGCACCTCCTCGGGATGACGAGGCAGGCAGTGCATAAACTTCCAGCCTTCGTTAGCACCGCCACGCTTGGCCAGGTCGTTGGTGATCTGGTAGCCAGCAAATGCCTTGAGGCGCTTCTGTGTCTCAGCCTCCTGACCCATAGATACCCAGGTGTCGGTAACAAGAATGTCGGCGTTCTTGATGGCCTCCTCAGGAATGGTAGTCTCGCTCAGCTTGCCGGGAGAAGACACTCCTTTGGCAGCGGAGGAAATGACAGCCTTCATGGCGTTAGGGATGCCATAACCGGTAGGAGAGGCAACGGCGATGTCAACCCCCATCTTGACACACCCGATGGCGAGATCGAAGAGAACATTGTTGGAATCACCAATCCAGGCAACCTTCAATCCCTTCACACCAAGGTCCGCCTTGTCGGAAGTCTTGGAAGCGGGGAAGGACTCGTGGATGGTCAAAAAATCGGCGATAATCTGCAGAGGGTGGTAGTCATCAGACAGAGCGTTGATGACTGGGACGCTAGAATCCTTGGCCAGGCCAGCAACGTCGGAGTGAGGGCCAACACGGGCAACCATGCAGGAGGTCATTGACGAGATGACTTTTGAGGTGTCATACAGAGACTCGTTGACCTATACGAGATTTAGTCTAGTGTCACTCAGGTCCAAGGACTTGTGTTTCTCACTCCAAGCTGAATGTCATCCTTGCCAAGGAACATGGGGTGGCCACCCATCATGGCCACGGCAGCCTCTGTCGATACACGGGTACGAGTGCTGCGCTTGCTGAACATCATGGCAACAGTCTCGCCCTTCAAGCCTGAAGCCAGAGCCGGGGGCACATTGCCGGACTTGACGGCGGTCTTGTTGGAAGCGGCGTTGCGGACGAGGGTAGCGAACTCGGCCGGAGTGAGATCCGCAATGGACATCAGATGACGGGCACCGGCCGATTGTGAGTAAGCCCGACTCTGGAGGCCGTTGAAGGCTTGACGGGTGACACGGAAAGCAGATTGCCTCATGATGGGTGATTCAAATGACTCGAGCTGGCTGGGTGAGAGGAATAGAAGCTTGAGACAGCTGCGAACGGATTCGGGTTGATGTGCTGAGGCCACAGATTTTTAAGCAAGCTTCTGATAAGACGGACTGAGTAAGTTGCCGATCTCAGTGAGTCGCGGTGGGAGTCAATTTGTGTATTTAGAAAGAAGGTTGAGTCACTGTTGGATAGCTTCAATGAAAGACGATAGCTACATGAACCCCACAAGCCCTTCCCGCGCAGGTGCAGCAAACTCGGACCCAGTCAGACAGTGCGCGGTTCTCACCGCTTCACACCGAAAATCTCGGAATCGCTCTGCAAACCCTGCAAATTCAGCGGGCTGTAGGGCAGACGACGATGCGGCTCACAGCGATGCTACAGGCGGGGACCTGACGGCGGGCAGCTCATGCAGAAGCCCAGACCGAATCGGTGAAACGGCCGCAAGCGGACCTGCGCGCCAATGCGATGGGTGCTGGAAGCAGCAGCTGTCAGCAGCTCGACGGCGCATTGTGGAGAGGATTTTCAGTGCAAGACACGGCTGAGGAAATGGTTGCGGTGCTGCGCAACGCTGCGCATGCGTGCCTGAGGAGGAGGGTGGGCCGTGCATATCCCGGTCAGGCACTCCAATCCAAGCTCTCAAGAAGGGAACATGATCCCCATCCCCGCCCCGGGCCATCCACACTTCGGGCCCTCCCCTTCGACCTAAAGGTTCCCTGTGGCCAACTCGCCCAGCTGACTAGACCTCGTCTCATTGGTTTCAGGTGACCTCTTCGGCTCTACCCTGTGTCTTCAGCAGCACTGCCAGCCCAGCTGCGCTTCCCCAGGATGAACCAAGTTACTTGACATCATCACCCATTACGAATCCCGAATCCCTGGGCAAGATCGGAAACTCAGCTGCCCTTTCCCTCTGCATTCTGTAACCTTTCCTTTTGTTAGTCTTTCTTGTCTCCAATACCACTGGTCTCTGGCGATGACGGCCGTCCTCCTACGATAACCCGCCATTTACACAATCAGAATCCCTTCGATTCGCAATGTCCGACGAAACTGAACGAACACCGCTCCTGACGCCCAAGGGCAAAGGAAAAGCGGAAGACGACTCTTCGATGTCCGAAACAGCGCCGCTCTTGTCCGGCTCTTCTGGAACACCTAGATACGACGGCGAACGAGACGACCCCGACAAGGCGAGCTTCTGTTGCGAAATCTGTCGAAGCCCTCAACCGCCACCATCCATTTCCGGTGCCTCGCTTGCCGGGTCGCATTCATCGCACACATCGCTCAAGGAGAAGAAGAGCTCCACGCCATGGGCCTCCATCATTTCCATCGTCGTGCTTGCGACGCTGGCCGTCTGCATCATGCTCGTGGCCTTCTTCGTTCCGGCAGCAGTGGAGGAATACGCTAAGCAGGCCGCTGTAGTCGAGCCGACGAATCTCTCCCTCGAGTCCATCACGACCAATGGCGTACGGGCTCGCGTGCAGGCCAACTTCAAGCTCGACGGGTCCAGAGTCCAGGATCCCACCTCTCGAAGGATAGGAAAGTTTACGACCTGGATTGTAAGGGCGCTTGGGACCGAGCAGACCAAGGTCGGCGTCTACCTGCCAGAGTACAACGACGTTTTGCTTGGCACCGCCGTGGTACCGCCGCTTTCAATCAGCATCGTGGACGGTCAGACTACCAAGGTGGACTTTGTCGCCGAGTTGTCGCCCGGAGATGCGGAAGCGTATCGAAAAGTCGCAAACGAATGGCTGGATGGAAAGCTCGATCAGCTGAAGGTGCTCGGAAAGGCCGATATCCCACTCAAGTCCGGGATCCTCCCGCTCGGAACCCACGCGGTCAGCGAGATCTTGACGTTTGAAGGTCAATCACTCTATCGCTCCTTTGCTTCGTTGTATTTTGGAGAAAAAGTTCTGCTTTGAATTGATCATGCCTTGCTGTATTCTTGCTTAAACACAAAAAACTAATACCTTGTATAGCGAAACAAATACCCTCGCTGCCGACGTACAATATCTCAAGACTCAACTTCCGAGACGTGCCAGATTCCGATGGACGATCAGCCGTTGGCGCCGATGTTGCCATCACGGCGTTCAACGAGTATCCAATTAGTCTTGATGTGCCCGAGCTAGGATTCGAGGTTCTCATCCCTAACTGCAATTCTTTTGATCCCTACATTCTTGTGGCCGACGCCACCACCGAACCCCTCACTATCAGACCGCATGCCGAGGTCACCGCTAATGTATCGGGTATCATCCGGGAGCTTCCCAAGGACCTCACGAGGGTGTGTCCCAATTCGAAGTCATCACCACTAGACAAGTTTCTGGACCAGTATATGCATGGCGAGGCTGCGACTGTCTACGTTCGTGGGCGGAAGGTTCCTGATTCCAACACCCCTGGCTGGGTCGGAGACATCTTGTCAGAGATTATGGTACCTGTGCCGTTCCCCGGCCAAGGGTTCGATAACCTCATCAAGAGCTTCTCTCTCACCGATGTGAACTTTCAACTCCCTGATCCGATGGCGGACCCGGATGAGGATGACGGAAACCCCAAGGTTTCAGGCACTGTCCAGGTTCTCGCTGGTCTGCCAAAGGAGATGAATTTCGATATCAACGTGACCAATATGCGAGCGACAGCCGACGTCATGTATCAGCACAGGAAGCTCGGAGAGCTGAACCTCGAGAAGTGGCAAGCTGCCAACTCCACCAAGATCGAAGACGCCAAGAAGAAGGAGCCCCTTCTTAAGATTACCTCTCGCGTCGAGAACGCCCCTTTGAACATTACCGACGGCGACGTGTTGACAGATGTCATGCAAAAGCTCCTCTTCGGCGGAAAGGAGGTGATGCTTGACGTCAAGGCTGGTGTTGACATCAAAGTCAACACTGCCCTCGGGAATTTGGTCCTGAAGGACATCCCTGCTGAGGGCAAAATCCCAGTAAAACGTCCGTATTAGCTCTTGATGCTGCTTCGTCTTATCGTGGGTTGTTTTCTTATGTCCCTGCCTGCCAGCGCGATGAGTCCTGGTTACGGTAGAGCTGACTTCTGGCAGCCTTGCCTGGCAAAGCGATCGGCAGCGTTCGTCCACAGGTTGGAGACGTCAAGATAATCGACACCTCTGAGACGTCACTGACGCTAGAGGCGTTGGTTAATGTCACAAATCCTACGCCGTACTCTGCCTTTGTGCCGTACGTCAACATCCACATCGTGAAGGATGGCACTATTCTTGGCAGCGCTACGGCAGAGAACCTCAACGTTGTTCGGGGTAACAACACCAACATGGTCGTCACGGCCAAGTGGGATCCCACAACCCATGGTGACGCTGGTCGCAGGATCGCCAGCGATTTAATATCTGAATATCTTTCTGGACGCAACGTCACATTTGATGTGAAGGCGCACCGGGGAACTTTGCCATCGGTCCCCATCATCGGCGAGGCCTTGTCCAAACTCAACATCACTATCGCCGCCCCCAAATTAGACCTTCCTGGAGACGGGGACGAGGAAGATGGAAAGAAAAAGGGTCACTTCATTAGAGACGCGACATTTCACGTATTGTCTTCAACAGCGACATTCACTTTGGTATCCCCACTGACTTACAACACTATTTATGTCGATTGGGTAAATGCGACGGCCTACTACAACCACACAGAGAAGGTCGGCCACATATTGTACGACCTGCCCTTTGCGGCACCGCCAGGTACGTCGGAAACGCCGAGGTTGCCTGTGGACTGGTCTATGGGATCAGTAGGCTATGATGCCGTGAGGAAGGCGATCGGAGGCGCATTGAAGCTCGATGCCAGCGCGAATGTGTCGGTTCGGATAGGTAATTGGAGGGAAACAGTCTGGTACGAAGGCCAGGGAATCGGGGCGAGCATTCGTTTGTAAGTACTTCTGGGCTGGGTTTATGGCGTTTGGGTGTCAACAGCAACAACAAATTGGGCGGCGGTAGCGCAGGAAGCGCAAAGAAACGTGAATTTCTCACGAAAATGTACTAGACGAGCCACATGGCTGCAGTCACACTAGACCTTTCAGTCCCTTGAGTATCAACAGGATGTTTGCAACAACACGTTTGAGAGTAAGACGCCGAATACTGATTGAAGTCGGATGCATGGAGGAACCGGTAGTGATCTGCTGAGAGAACAGACCGTTAACAAGCGGAAGTGGTCAGCCATTCTCCGGAACAAGATTAAAGGCCCGTTGTTTCCAGTCGAGAAATGCTGCTGGCGATCACAGTGCATGGGCACAGTGTGGTGTACACCTGGCGTCAACGTCCCACCATTGAACCTCTGTCGTTCGTCAAGCAGTCAAGAATCCCATCACACCTCAAACTCTCGGCCGATTGAGCAGCTGTACGAGTTCCGACTTGTCAATTGCCGCCCAATCGTTTTCCACATCACAGAACAACAAAGAGCTCGCCAGGTCTGGAGCTGTGCCCTTCCAGCCTTCGATCACGAAAAACCCACGCCGGTTCTCCCCCTCCCCAAAGCGGACATCAAAACATATCTCGCCACGAGGCCGAGATCGTCAAGATTGGCCGTCTATGGTTAGGAAGCATCCCAGCTACCAGGAAAATGGCCGCCTTCTCCCCGTACGCCCCGCGCAGGCGCCGTTCTCCACGCGTGGTCATCACCTGGGTGGGCGTCTGGCTGCTCGTCGTCACGTTGACGTGGTGGTTCGCGACGCGGCGCTCGGCGGGGGCAGCCGAGATGGCTTCGTACGCGGACGCCGTCATCAAGGGGAAGGAAATCCCTCCGGAGGCCGGCGGTGACTGATTTTCTTTTTTGTCTTGACATTTCATCTCACGGACCATCCCTTGTATCGATACCAATTTTCCTTACTTCTTCATGTGTCTTACTAGCCGGGAACACAGACACAGACATGGGCGTTGGGAAGCTGTCACAGAAGCATGGCGGAGGGGGGAAAGAAAAACGACGGATGATCGGCGCCAGCTTCTGGCCCCCCCTCTTCTGCCCCCACGATGGGACAGGGCACGGAGTTATTTGATCGCGGGATCAAGATTGGTGTTGCAGGAATGAAAGATGCGGCGTGTGGCGTGCCTGGCGCGGCCTGGAATGTCACAATTGTGACGTCGGGCTAGTCACATCATTGCGGCAGCGGATTGCCCCCCCTCACTTGGTCCAGACGCAATATTTCCACCGAGGGGGCTTTCACGTATTCTGGAACCAAGGAACGCCGAGATACGGCCTTCTCAGACATCGAAGGATCGTGGGGTAGCATGTTGCGAGGATTGGGGGGTTAAAGCCTTCGGGGCGGGCAAGATTGGCATGCAATTAGGTTCGCAGAGCTACCGTTTCCTGGAGATTAGCCTAGGGGACGAAGACTGGAATTTCCAAGGGAGGCTCAGACCCGGGTTTCTGGGGGAGCAGGGCAACCAACAACGCATCCCCATCACGATCACCAGGGGCAGGTGGACTGTCTGGGTGTCAGGCGCTTTTTCTGTTATTGATGGTGGTGTAGCAGCAGGGAACCATAAACATCTCGGCATCGTTTCTTTATCACACCCTTCTTATTATATTGAGCACAGTTACACAAAACCAGCTTCCCTTCTTTCCACTGTCTCTCTACGCACGTGTGCAATCCGGACCTTTTCCCTTCATTTTACCGTGTCTTTACTTATTCCCAGCGCGGCGTCAAAGTGAGCAAAAGCCACATGGTACATAAGGGCCCTTTGTCCTAGTGTCGCCGCTTCCAGGATTAGCAGCAACTCCCCTCGGACTCAGCCAGCGCCTCGCGCTTCTGAAACGGGAGAGCTAAGAAGAACGGCAGTTACGAAGCGCAGGAGTGGCTCAAGCCTGCTTCAAAGGCGGCGGCGGTCAAGCGGGAAAAAAGGTTCAGGCAAGTGTTCGTTTTCGATCGGCGACGCAAGCCGCGTGGGCTCGCATTTACATGGAGTCGAAAGGTGAAGCCATACATTAACCGCCGCTCTTCCCGGGCTGCTGGAACTCTTGGCCGTGGTCTTTTCAACTTACCATTCCATCTTAGCGCGCACCTATCTCGGGTTACAAGAATACTCAGCGTGACCACTACAGAGAACGGGAGCCGTCCGATATTCCAGCCGACACTCCTGGAGATTGTCAAGACTCGTTTCCACCGGAACCTCACCCAACCACAACATGAACGGCCTTGGCATAATGAACATGGACATGAACGCCCACGGGGCGGCCGTCGCGCGGCCGAGCCCCAGCATGCCCAACCTCAGAGTCACACACGCCGACGCCCTCGCCCAGGGCTGCGGCCGCAAAGACTGCTTCCACGACGCGGCGTCCCCGGACTGCGAGCTGCACGGCAACCTCGTGAGGGACATCATCAGATCCCGCCGCGAAGAGCGCCGTGCGAGGCTGCAGCAGAGATGTCGGACACAGAGCAGCGAGGCGCTGGCCATGTCGGCTGCGGCCGCGGCCGTGTCGGCGACCAGAAACGTGACGCCGCTGAGGCGGCAGTTGAGCCAGAGTAGCACAAAATCCGAGAGCCCGAGGTCGACCATCTCGTCGGACTTCTCGCCGTGCGTGTCGCCTTTGATGGAGGATCTCATGCTCGAGGTCACGGATGCGATTGAGAGCAGCGGGACACCGCGTGAGGTCACAATGCTGCCGCAGAGGCGGACGGCGTATGATATGGACGAGATTTACAGGCTGATTGACGAGGCTCAGAGGGAATATGAGTGCCTCGCTCAACCGCCCATCGCAAATGCGCGTTTTGATGCGAAGGCTCAACCGGGCTGGATGAGAGAAGATTGCTGGGGAAGTTTGACGGATCACTCATAGTCGAGGGGGATACCAGTAGTAGAACATCACGACGACAACAGAGAGCCACTTGGCGCCGAGGTCCGGCTGAAAGATAGCCAACCAAGGAGAATGCACGCAAACGAAGGAGTATACTCATACCCAAACTGAGGGAGCAGTGTCAGAACGGAACCTCACCAACTGGAGTCTGAAGGATTGCGAATTGTGTCAGCATGGAATAAACCTGATCAATCTTGGAATTGTACATATTAAGGGTATGCACCTTTTGTCCTGGTCCTCATCACCCTCCCAAACCCCGATAGCTTATTGTAATCGAACACCGGCCTCGCGCCGTTTCGCCGCTGACGAACTCATGTTTGCATTCTCGCTCGAGTCGAGGACGCTCTGCGCCTCGCGTCGCTTCTCGTCTTCAATCTTCTTGAGTCGCTTGTCGGTCTTGCCCTTGCCGCTGCCCTTGCCGTGGAACTGGTGACTCATGTGCTTGAACGCCTCCTTCTGGTCCAGAGTTCTGCCGTGATCGTCAACATACTTGAGCTCGACGTTGGGCTTGTATCCCTTCTTGAAAAGCTCGTCGACGGCGCGAGACGCCTGCAACTCGCGGTGTGCGTTGGCCTGTCGAGCACGCTCTTCCCTGTCTCGGGTGGACATGGCATCCAGTCGACCGCTGTTTCTGTCGCGCTCACGTTGCATCCTGGCACGCTCATCCTGCTCTCTTTCGATACGCTTCTTTTCTGCGAGAAAATCGCTTCTCTGCCTCTCGCTCATATTCAGCTCGGCGCCGTGCGAATCCTTCAAGATGCCACGCTCTCTCAGCAAAGCCAAAGCAGAGCCAACACCTGCGTTGATCGTCTTTTCCTCGTCGACTCCTGTTGTTGCAATATCTGTAGATCCTGCTCTTGCTCTATCGACAGACTCCTCGCGTTCTGGATGCGAGTCGTCGCCCATAGGATGGTCCTCGTCATCCGAATCATCCATTGCTGTGACGGCCTCCTCGACGGCCTTCGACTTCTTCGGCTTGCGTTCCTCCTCCTCATCAGGCTTCTTCAATGCCGACACAAATTCGGAAATCTCATCAATCACCACACCGCCGCTTTGCGCCTCGTTTTCAGGTTCGTCGACCTGTTCTTTCAGTTGCCTCGCAATGTCCTCGGGGCGAGTCCTCTTCCTCTTCTTCAAAGCGCTCTTGCGCTGGATTGCTAGCGATGCCTGTAGGTCTTCGTCGTCGACAAAATTGTCATCCTCGACCTTGCGCTTCTTCTTTTGGGCCATTGCGCCGGAATCAACATCCATCAGGTCGTCGTCGGCTGCCGCCGCATCAGTAGGGAAGATATCATCCTCGTCAACTGGCTTCTGTCTTGTTGATTTGGACTTCTTCTTCTTGGGCTTCTTGACCTTGATCTCGGAAATATCGATGTAATCTGAAGTGGGGGTGTCCTCTGCAAGTCAGAGTTAGCTCAGCACGCGCTTGCTGCGGAAAAATGGACCAAAACTTACGGACGACATCATCTAGATTGATGCTCTTCAGCATCTTCGCCTTTTCCGACGCCTCTCCCAAGATATCACCCAGCTCTGCTATCGCCCCGGATCCATCGAGTGTGAATTTCTTTGCCTTCTTGCCGTAGATTTCGTCGTCGTATTGTTGAAGGATACCGCGCTCGCCCCCATCGTCTGTCGCATGAACGTCGTACGCTGGCTTCTTTTTCTTCAAATCTAGTGTCTCTTGCAGCTTCTCCCGTGCCTTCAGGTCCAAGTTCTCTAGCTCATCACCGTCCTCCTCGTTTTGATCGATAGTCGAGTCCTTCAGGGTCAAAATCTGCTCGTCGCCATCGAGGAAGTTGTCCAGCTCGTGCGCCACCTTGACTCCAGCCAAGTCTTTGGACGTGTACTCGATTGCCGCGAGTGCAGCCGCTTCAGCAGCAGCCTGTTCCTCCTCCAGCTTCCTCGCTTTCTCGATAGCCTTTTGCCTCTTCTTCTGCGCCTTCAACCAGGCCTTCGCGTCGACATCACCTCCATCATCTTCTTCACCAAGACCCTTGCCTTCCAAAGATGCGAAACGCTGGGCAGTATCACGTTCCCTCTTCAGGGCGGCTGCGCGTTCCTCCCGTTTGCGCCTCGCAGCTTCGGCGTCGCGAACCTTTGTATAGTTGTCGTAGGCCTGCGCCTGTCGGCTTTCGAGTGTGCTGGGCGCTTCCTCGTCGTCGGAACCAGATCCGTCGCGTTGCGATTCAGCGGGTGCGGGAGCGGCGCCAGGCACAGGCAAGGGCTTCATGCCCAGCGACACGCGAATGCGGTTCGTCTCCTCGATGGTCGCGGCGTCCATCTTGGCGGGGGGAAAATGATAGACTGGATGGGTGGATGATTAGAATGGCACGCTCGTGCTGGCGTTGGCTAGAGGTGCGGCAATCAAGTGAAGTTGAAATGTGGATTCGCAGATCGGTTCAGAACTTGGAGATTATTTGGGTACACCAAGGCATGTTGAGCGGACCTTCTTAGCAAGGCTGGGATGGAATGCTGAGGCCAGTGCCGGCGCAAGACCCACCCATCGTGGCCAACCAGAAAAGTCTGCGGCTCATCCAGCCGGGCCCACCCTAGTGATCTGGACAACGCTTAGCTAATCAAGGTGGGGCGCAGATTTAGTACATATCGCAGCCTTGCGAATTTTCTTTCCTCTCTCTTTTCCTTTCTTCAACAAACACGGGTCTGTGTCCAGCGATCCTCTTCCCGTTCGCGGGTTAGAGTTGATTACTGCGACAGCTCGATCACCAAAGGAGCCATCAAATTCTCATGATGTCAATCTTCCGATCGACAGATCCAAGAGAGACCGGTCTTTGGGAAGCCATGTTCGCTTCGGCTTGAGCGTGGTGGAACATTGTACTGGGGACGTCATATTCCTACCCCTTCATCCGAGATCGTCGATCAATGAGGTTAGGGAAAACCATGACTTGCCCAAATATTTTCACTCGTAGGTATCTTTCTTGTAATCATCCCGGCGCAGATTTTGCAAAATT